ACACACTCACACCAGGCATCTTACTGACTTTTGTGGTGGGAAAGAATAGATACATTCTTTCTTTGCCCTGCACACATTGAAGCTCTGTCCCCACACAAAGACACATCTAGCCCTGGGGGGTGACAGTGGTGGATGTGTAATTTGGATCAGGTCATCCAACCCGCCCTCCTAGGAAGGCTTCCTGTGCTGCCCAGGCTGCATATGCTATTACCCAGACTCCCTTGCAGCCCAGCAGGTCTCGGGATGCAAATTATATGCCACTATTTGGATGCACTCATGGGACGGTTGGAGAGTGAGGTGGAGGACGTCTTCTTGCTCCTCTCGGCTATTTTCGGTCACCGGCTCTGTGGTGACTGAGGTGGCTGTGACAGTGGCAGCAGCTGCGACAGTGACCGTGGCATCCTGAGCCTCGGACCGGAGCTCAGCTTCTGGCTCCTGAATTCACAGCTCCAGTAGCAGCCTCCAAGGCTGTGCAGTTCCCTGAACTTTTCCTCCAGGCCCAGGCTGGATCCTGCTCCTCTCCTCCTCCCAAGGATTTGTTTTTTTTTAACTTTTGACATAATTACAAATTCATAGTGGTTGCAAAGATAGTACGGGGAGGTCCTGTGTATCCTTCATCCAGTTTCCCCAAGTGGATACATCTTCCATAAGTACCGTACAATACCAAAACCACGAACTTAACACTGCCATACTGTACGTGCATGGTTCCATGTCACTTTGTCACGTGTAGGTCCCTTAAGTCCCACGGCAATCGACATATGAAACTGTTCCAGCACTACAAAGGTCTCCCTCCTGCTACCCCTAGGTAGTCACACCCACCCCTTTTATTCTCACCCACCCTAACCCCCGGCAACCACAAACCTGTTCCCCATCTCTACCTTTTTTGTCATTTTAAGAATGGTATCGAAATGGAATCACACAGTATGTAAACTGTGGAGACTGGCTTTTTTCACTCAGCCCAACGCCCCTGAGATCCGTTCCCTTTTAGTCTGTTCCCTTTTTTTTTATTACTGTTCCTTTTTATTATTTAGTATCCCGTGGTGCAGAGGGACCACAGTTTGTTTACAGCTCACCCACTGAAGGACAGCTGGGTCATTTCTAGTTTGGGGCCAATACAATTAAAGCTACTCTAACATTCTCATGCAGAATTTTTTCCCTGGGGTAAATGCCCACGAGTGCAGTTTCATGGTGATATGTTTAATTTCCTAAGAAACTGACAAGCTGTTCCCAGACTACATTTTACATTCCTATCAGCAATGCACACGAGACAACCAGTTTCCCTGCATCTTTTCAGGCATTGGGCTTCATCCCTACTTCTTACTGGAGCCGAGGCATGTGTGAGGCTTCCCTCCCACCAGTGCCTCTGGTTTCCACTCGGACAACAGGAGCAAGGGGCACAGGGATTATTAACCTTCCCCGCCTCACACTTTCCATCAGTTGGAAGAAGGTAGTGTTGCCAAATATTTGTTCCACGAAATTCAAGTTGGAGTATTTTGTATTTTGTTTGCTACACCTTAGCCATCCTAGAAAAAGGCTGACCTAGCTGAACCTATGAAGTCTGATAGCGCAACATCCTGGCACGGGTTATTTCCATAGGATGTAAGCTCCCAGAAGGCAACTGCACCTTTTCGTGCTTTTTATTCCCCAAGTCAGACAGAATTATCTCAAATTCTAAATTAGCTGTGTGGCTTCATGAGGTTTCCTTTGGGAGGAGAAATGAAAACTCCTTTATTTATTTCTTTTTTCTTTTTAAATATAATTTATTGTCAAATTGGCTTCCATACAACACCCAGTGCTCATCCCAACAGGTGCCCTCCTCAATGCCCATCACCCACTTTCCCCTCCCCCCACACCCCATCCACCCTCAGTTTGTTCTCAGAATTTAAGAGTCTCTTGTGGTTTGCCTCCTTCCCTCTCTGTAACTCCTCCTCCCCCCTGGTCTTCTGTTGAGTTTCTCAGGATCCACATATGTGTGAAAACATACAGTATCTGTCTTTCTCTGCCTGACTTATGACTCTTATGTCTTATGTCTCAGTCGGTTAAGCATCCGACTTCGGCTCAGGTCATGATCTTGCGTTTTGTGAGTTTGGGCCCCACATCGGGCTCTGTGCTGACAGCTTGGAGCCTGGATGGAGGCTGCTTCAGATTCTGTATCCTCCTCTCTGCCCCTCTGCTGCTTGCACAGGTTCTCTCAATCTCTCTCTCTCTCTTTCAAAAATAAATCTTAAAAAAAATTTTTTAACTGCAAATATGGGGATGATGGAAATAATCTACATCTTGCAAGGGCGTGGGGGCACAAAGAAATATGTATGAGTGAAACTCACGGAACTCTACACTGAAGATTTTTGCACTTCAACTACGTGGCAATGGGAAAGAATGAAATATGGCCCTTTGTAGCAACGTGGATGGAACTGGAGAGTGCGATGCTAAGTGAAATAAGCCATACAGAGAAAGACAGATACCATATGGTTTCACTCTTATGTGGATCCTGAGAAACTGAACAGGAACCCATGGGGGAGGGGAAGGAAAAAAAAAAAAAAAGAGGTTAGAGTGGGAGAGAGCCAAAGCATAAGAGACTCTTAAAAACTGAGAACAAACTGAGGGCTGATGGGGGGTGGGAGGGAGGGGAGGGTGGGTGATGGGTATTGAGGAGGGCACCTGTTGGGATGAGCACTGGGTGTTGTATGGAAACCAATTTGACAATAAATTTCACATATTAAAAAAAAAAAGATCTGTGCACTTCACTGTAAATTAACTAAACATCAATGAAAGAAATAGGTTAAAAACAAAAAGAAGCAGCAAAAGAAAAAACAGTCAGTGCTGTTGAAGGGCCTGGGCTGGGCTGTTGGGCACATAGGTCCAGGTTCGTGCCAGGTAACAGATGCTGTGATCTGGGGAAAGGGTATCCATTTTTTTTGTGAGTCCGTCCAGTGGAATGGTCTACAGCCAACCAGAATCTTGTTTTCAGAGAATAACTTTCAGTGACATGGTGAAGTGTTCATGTTATAATGTTAAGAGAAAAAAAAACGGAGTTATAAATTTGTGAAAAGCCATTTGGACACAGGCAGAAATCCATCATTTCACTGAAACAGTGAACCATTCATGGCCCCTCTTCTACATCATGATCCACGCACATAAACACCCACACAGAGCGGCTAGCCTGTGGGCAACCCCGTGCAGGAGCAGAGTATCAGGCCATGACGGGGGCACGGCTGGGGTTTGGGGGATGCGGCAGGCCCTAATACCAAGGAGCTGGAGGAGACACACACTGAATTTTCCAGAAGAGTTGCCCCTTGAGCCAAGGTTTTGTTTCTTTTTAATTAAGCTATAATGTACGTGAAGTATATAAAGTGCACGAATCTCAAGTATAAGCTGATGACTGCTTACACGGATAATCGCTGTGTGACCACCGCCCAGCTCGACATTCCCAACCTCCCCAGTTCCCTTGTGTCCATCTGTCTTTACCCTTCCCAGTAGCGATTCTGACTTCTACTGCCATAGATTTTTCTTCTTCTTCTGGCACTTCGTGGAAATGGAATCGTACAACATTTATTCTTTCACTCAACATTGTATCTGTAAGATTTACACTGCTGCGTATACCCAGATTTCTTTTTTTTTTTTTTTTTTTAATTGCTGTGTCCTTGGCATGAATCTACCTGTTGATAAAACTCTGGGTTTAATTTCTGGCTGTGTAGAGCCGTGAAGATTTTATACATGTCTTTTGATGACATAAGTACTCATTTCTCTTGGGTATACTTAGCAGTGGAGTTGCCAAGATACAGGGTAACGATGTGTTCAGCTTTAGTGAAAACCCACCAAATGGTTTCCAAATAATTGGGTCATTTTACCTCCACACCGGCGGTGTCTGAAACTTCCAAATGAACTGAATCTTTCTGTGTGGATGAACGTGGCAGCTGGAGAAGGTGGCATATGGAGGCTACAGTTAGGGCCAAAGATACTCTGGGTAAGAGGAATGTCAGGGAGGCACAGGTGGCCGTGAGAATGTGCCACTTTAGATCTCTTACTCTGAACCCACCACCAACCGGCACTGAGGCCATGCTTCCCACAGCAGCCCTCAGCCAGTGACCAGGCTACTCATCTAATTCACAACTTTGGCTCCAGAACTCCTGAGCGGCTTGGTGCGACAATCTGAGAACTGAGCTACAGCCTGGGACTCTACCTCCTGGACCCCCTTTCTGTCCCTCCCAGGAGTCAGACTTGCAACAGGTTCTCTTCTCTCAGGACACAGTTGATCTTAGCGGTTTCCACGGAAGCCAGACAAAGGTGGAATGTCAGGTGTGCTATTTGGCAAAACTGCTCACAGTAAAACTGACGTCTGACAGATAAGCTACATCTGCACTGGAAGGACTGTGAAAGAACTAAAATATCTGGTGGGACGCCAGAGCTGGGGGCTCCCCTGAGTGCAATGGCTTTAGAATCCGGGATGTTCCTTGAGGGCCCTGGGAACTAAAACCGTTGTTTGAAAGAGAATGGCTCCTATGGGGCTTCTAAGCCAGTGGCCCCAACTACTGGGGGTAGTTGGACCCAACTACTGGGTCTTGCCCCATCACCCTCGAGCAGGGACTTGCAGAACAGGGCGAGGATGGCCCCGGGGCTGGTGTGAGGGCTCCTCCTGCAGAAGAAAAGTGCTCTACGTTGTCCTGCTGAACGTCCTGTCCTATGTCCTTCTAAGGGGACCTGATGCCAAGTGTGGTCTATTGTGGTCTTGTGAGTCCTCTTTAGCCTAAGAAAACCCCCTGGTGGACACTGCTCTTGCTCACCACAGCCCTGTCCCTCCAGCTTCCAGCCTCATCGCCCCACTTAGCCGGAAATGCGATATCCGTCCAGCGATCAAGAGGAAATCCAACCAGCCTGTCTCACGTCACAGTCCTCGGTGCTTTCCCATCACCACGTCGCCTCGGGTGACAGCTGGGGTTAAAGAGCATGTGGGTACCGACTAACAGCCCGCTTCTTGCTGTCCAAAAAAAAAAAGACTGGACCAAGATGTTTATAATCATTTAATGAATGTTCCACACACACCTTCACTGTGCTACAGGCGAATTTCATGATGACGGAAGCTGATGAACCACCCACCCAAGCAACCACGTGATCTATTCACAGTTTCCAAACACCTGGAGATCAACCAGAAAGATTCCGTAGGGAACGGCACGATTACTCGGCCAGAGGCTCCTTAGGGTTCTTACTTTCCTTCTTCCTTCTCCTCCTCCTCCTCCTCCTGCTAAGGACCTTCTCCACGGTCTGGATGCTCAGGATGGGAGAAGGGGGCTGGGAGGGTCCCATCGTACCAGGGCAAAGAGGACTGTGGACCCCACACTCCAGATGCAGTAAGATGACATGGGGGCACAAGCCTGGGGCAGGCCTGCTCAATAAATAAACAATTCCCAGAAGCCACCACACGGGGCTAGTGGGCCCAGGGCCACTGAGCTGGAGGAGCCACACCCCCACCCAGGCCTGGCCACAGCACGCTCACTACGTGTTGCACACCAGCACATCTGCAAAGGGTCCCAGGAGGATCTTGTTGAAGATGCAGCGGACCCACACCAAGTAGGTAGTGAAAGGCTTGATGTTCTCGGTGAAGGTGTGGTTCTGCAGGGCCAGGATGTAAGGCACATAGGTGTTCTCGCCCTGCTCCTGGAGCCACACCTCGTACTTCACCTCCCTCACCTTCAGGTACTTGAGGTTCCACGGGATCTGCCAGGACACGGTGAGGCGCGCCTCGGAGGCGCCCTGCACTGACGCCTGGCACCGCGCATCCCGGACCTTGCCTGGGTAGAGGCCGACAGTCCACTTCTGCTTCCGCGGCCCCGGCCGGCCCTTTACCACGCGCCGTATGGTCTGGATGAGGGATGGGATGTCCACCTTGGTGTCCTGGTAGATACGGAAGAGCCACTCAGGGTTCCGGCAACAGAGATGCCGCGGGACCTCGCGGCTTTGCAGGATACGGGCCTGCTCCGCCCGGTCTAGGTGAGCGATGCCCCCCTGGTCCCAGGGCCGTTCAGGGTGCGTGACTGTGTTCTCTGGCATCATGTTCCGCCAGGCTACGTACTGGAGGTCCATGCCAGGCAGCGTGGCCAGCGTCTTATAGGGCGTATAGTGGTCGGGATTGACAGCATATGGGAAAAGCTCGACCACAGTGGCCCCACGGGGCAGGAAGAGGGCAGTGACCAGCTGGGCCCCGTGCATGCTGACCAGCATGGAGGCGTTGCTGACCAGCCGCACGACATCTGCAAAGGCGTGGTCCTCCAGGGACACCGTCACCGTCTTCATCTGGAACTCCTGGGCCAGTGCCAGCAGCAGCTCTGCCTCATTCAGGATGAGTCTGTTCTGGGTACGGCTGAAGACCAGAATGTAGTCTTCGCCTAGGGGAGCCCCTGCCCGGCTCACGTTCAGCTTTTCCATCATGAACCGTGCGAACTGCCGGATCTCGTTGCCCGAGACCAGGACGTTAGCCTTGGGGCCCTGGGGCTGGACGAAGCCATACTGGTACCACGTGGTGACCTTGGAGAGACCCACGAAGGCATGGGAGAAGCACAGCAGCCGGCCCAGGGTCTTGAGCTGTGCCCGCAGGAGTGGCTGCTTCGGGCTGAGGAGCTTGTAGAGCTCAAAGTGTGCGCCCTCGCTCCAGCCCTCCATGAAGAAGAGCCGGGCCTCGTGGGCCAAGCCGGGGAACTGCCTCAGGGTGTAGAAGAGAGGCAGCAGGTCGTCGTGGAAGACGTGCATGAGGTTGTCGGGGTTGAACCGGTTGGCGAGGAGCGCCACGTCAGGCACAAACACGGGCTTCGGCATGAAGCGCAGGGCGGCGGCCGGCAGCTCCACGAAGTTGAAGTACTGGGTGTTGTGGTCCTCCACGGTGGACAGGTCGAGCAGGGCCGGCTGGAAGCGCCGGGAGCCCAGGTTGGGCAGCATGACGGACGCGTTGCCGTGGAAGAAGATGAACTCCTCGGCCTCGCTGGAGTAACACAGCCACTCGAAGCGGCAGAGGCGGTCAGTGTGCGTGCGGCCCGTGCACACCATGTGTGTGCCTCCCTCCATCAGGGTCTGCAGCGCCCTGGGGTAGTCGATCCTCAGCGCGGGGCCCGGCTCCGGGGCCTGGCGGCCGAGGGCCAGCTCCTCCTCCAGAGCGGCCGCATGCTCACGCAGCCGCACGTGCTTCCACAGGACCGCTGCCAGCACGGACACCAGGAGGGCGTTGAACACCGCCGACAGGTGCATCCTAATGCCACCACGGGGCCCTAGTGACAGGACAGCGCCCGGGGAGTGCCACAGGCCTGGCGGGCTCGACCCATCTCTGCGGGCACGCTGACGGTCGGCAAAGGCCTGCGGGAGACAAGGAAAAGGGAAAGGTGTCGGCACGGTCTGTCTGCGGTCACCTTAGGCTCCTGCGGCGTGTCGGGCACTGTGCCTGCCACAACGCTGGATTCTCTTTTTGTTTTGAGAGCGAGTGTGTATGCGGGCACCGATCAGGGGAGGGGCAGAGGGGGAGAGAGAGAGTCTTAAGCAGACTCCAAGTTCAGCGTGGAGCCCCACCCGGGGCAGGATCTCACGACCCTGAGGTCATGACCCGAGCCAAAGTCAAGAGGCGGGCGCTTCACCGAATGAGCCACCCGGGCGCCCCGGCACTGGATTCTTGAACCATCTTGTGCGTTCGAAGGTGTGGTAGATTAGACGGCTGTTCCAAATATTCACTGCCTCCCTTCCCCTCTGCCTCCACAGGGGGAGTATACATCCCCGCATCTTGACTGTGGGCTTGACCGCATAACTTGCTTTGGCCAATGAAGTGTTAGCAGAGAAGGCATAATCGGAGCCTTGAAAAGAGCGTGTGTGGCTGGCCTCGCCCTCTTTATACCTATGACACTGCTGTGAGGAGAACGTGTTCAGCCTAACCTCCGGTCCCAGGAGGAGTGACACGCGTGTGGAGCAGCGCTGCTCCGGCCAAGCCCAGTGTAGCTCACCTGACCCCCAGGTTCAGAACCAAGATCATCAGAACTACCGGTCAATGCAGGGACGTCTGAGCTGGGTAAGTGCTTATTGTTGTCCATCATGGAATCCTGCGGCTGTTTATTATGAAGCACCACTGTCGCCACAGCTAACCAGAGGACCTGTGATGAGAGGCCACGGGGAAAATCCTGGGTAGGGACCTGGCATTGCTGGACTTTTCCCTACGTGGGACTGAAGGCCTGTGAGTGTCACTGCCAGGCTGTACCCCAGGACCCCAGTATGCCTTCTTAGGACACACAGCAGGTGCACCTGCGGGATACGGGGGACCCTCTGCTCTTGTTTAAAGCTCCCATTTGGAAATCATGCCTTTCAGAGTCCCATGAAAGGACGGGTAGGTTTGTGCCCCCTCCGTGGTCCAGTAATAGAACTGTGTCTGCACGTCACCACTGACACCCCGACAGAGAGGCCTGGCTGGGCTACACCACCTGCTCCATTTTTCTGCGCTCTGGGGAAGGGTGACACTTGCTGTGAAGCCCAGGACAGCTCAGACTGACAGATCTCACGCTCAGGCCTCACAGGAGGAGCACGCGTAACACCTGATGCCTACACGGCACTGCACTGGGGAGGGACGGAGCCGCCCCTTGATTCCCTTGGGGCTAGCTTTGGACTCTTGGTGTCCTGCAACTTCCCTCTCCCTGGGATCACAAAGATCAAAGTGCAGTCCTGCTCAGAAAGAGGCAGTGGCTTAGGCTGGGTTCCCTCAGAATTGGAATCAGGGATAAGGGTTGGAGTCAAAATAGTTTGAGAAATTATCCCAAGAAACCCGTGTAGGAGAGTAGGGAATTAAGAGGGACAAGGAGTGAAGCCAACAGAGGGCACATCAATGAGCCTGTCGCTACTCTGCGAAAGCCAGGCTACTCGTCTACCAACTCCTACCCAGCATCAGTTGACAGTCATTCCTGGGGACACTGTCTCTTCCAGCCTACCCTCATCTAAGGGTTGAGCATGCACACATTCATACGTATGCACATTATATTCCCCACCAAAACATTTCACAAAGAATTACTCTGACTAGCTATAATGTACTCCAGTGTTTCCTTTTCCAGCCCGATATTCTATTCTGTTTTAAAAGGGGGGTGGGGGGGTGGGGTGGGTGTTCATCTTAATTGATTTTACAGCCTAACAGGGTCAGCAATTTGCTGTTTAAAAAATACTGGTCTAGACCACAAATTCTCAAACCTGCCTAGTTGTCGACATCCCCAGAGGCACTCACTAAAACTGTATATTCCCAGGCACAGATCCTGGAGGTTCTGATTCAGTAACAGGTCTGGAGTATGGCTCAGGCATCTTTTCTTTTTCCTGTCTTCTTGCAGATTATTTGAATTACATTTTAATCTATATATACTGTTTTTGAGTGTATTTCTTGGTACAGATTCTCTAGTGGTTGTTTTAGGCATCATACTATTGACATGCAACTTCGCACAGTCTACTAGTATTGACATTTTACATCTCGACTAAGTAAAGAAACCATGTCTCTGTTGGGCTCTTTTACCCTTCTCCCTTGCAATCATCTTCAACATTTCCTCTACAGACATTAAAATCCACATCAGACAGTATTATAAATTTGGTTTCAACTGTCAAATGTCATTTTCTCGAGAGGGAAAGGAAAGCCTATTACATTTACACATATTTTTATTCTTTCCATTCTTTCTTTGTCCCAGGTTTTCTTTGGTTATCATTTCTTTTCTTTGGAGAACCTCCCTTCATTACCATTGTAGGGAAGTTTGCTGAGAACAAATTCTTAGTTTTCCCTCAAGTGACAAAGTCTTGATTTCACCTTCATTCCTAAAGAATATTTTCACTGGGACAGAACTCTGGGGTGACAGTTCTCTCTGCACTCTGGCCTCCACATTTCTGATGAGAAATCCACTGCACCTAAACTGCCATTCCCCTGGACATAATGCATCCTTCCTCTCATGTGGCTCTGAAGAGTCTGGTTTTCAGAAGCCTGATGATTATCAGGTGTCCTGGTGTGGGTTTCTTTGGGTTCACCCTGTTAGGGCTTCATTCACTCTTGAATCTGTAGGTTTGTATCTCTCACCAAATTTGGGAAATTTTCAGCCATTGTTTCTCTGATACTTTTTCAGCCTCCAGGTACATGAATGTTAAATATTATATATATATAATTGTAAATATTTATTATATATATAATTATAAATATGTGTGTGTGTGTGTGTGTGTGTGTGTGTGTGTGTGTGTGTGTGTGTCTTTTTAGGTCTCTAAGGCTCTCTTCAATTTTTTTCCAGTCTATTTTCTCTCTGTTGTTTAAATTGGATAATTTCCATTGTTTGTTTTCATGTTCACTGATTTTTTTTCTTCTGTCATATCCATTCTCCTATTGAGCCATTCCAGTGATTTTTTACATTTTGGTTACTACACTCTTCGGTTCTCAAATCTCCATTTTGTTCTTTATATGTTTCCTTTCTTTGCTGAGACTTAGCCTGGGCATTTGGGGTATAATGTTATGATACTCTGGAGCTTATATTAAACCTTCTATTTTAGCAGGTTTTTGCAAGAACCATGCTAGTGGGGGAAGGAAAAGGACGGAGTCTCTACCGTTGGATGAGAGGAAATCCACGCTCCCCATGTGGCCTCCACCAACAGCACCCTGGCAGGGAGAGTGAGAGACACAGCAGAACCATGGAGTAGGAAATCTCAGCTCCTCAGCTGGCCTCTAATGACACCCAGGGGGTACCTCATCATCACTGGGTGGGGGTCGAAGTCTAGGCTCCAGTGACACCTCAAGGGGACTGTCGTGGTGGGGGGGGACATCTTGTTACCTCTGGGTGGTGGTAAAGGTCCAGGTTCTCATCCAGACCCATCGGGGGAGGGTAGGTTGGAGTGCTGAAGGTGGGGGTGTGTACCTGGTTGGTTACCACAAAGCAAGGATGGATGTCTAAGCTGTCAATTCAGCCTTTACTAGAACCAGGAGGGAGGGGAGAAGCAATCTTCCTTGGTGTTTTGCAGGAATAGGGTGTTACTCTCCAAAAGGTTTGTTTCGTTAGGCTGTTCCTTTTCCAGTCCTTTGACGAGAGAGAGAGAGAGAGCGAGCTTTCCTTGGGGCTTTTTCTGGTCGATGCTCACTGGCATTTCTGGGTTGTGGGCTTCTTTGGCACCCAGTCTGGGATACATAGGAGGCAAATAGAAAATCCAAGGAACTCAGTACTGTGTTCTTCTCTCCACCTTTCAGTCTTCTGATGTTTTATACACAATGTCCTGTATTTTTAGCTGTATTAGTGGATGGGTAGGGATAAATGTGTCTACTCTGTTTTGACCAGCACCCAAAGTCTCATTGGTATCTGCTTTTTTACTAAGCTCCCAGGTGATTCTGGGGGGTACAACCACATTTGAGAAACACCAAGTGGCTCTTAACCAAAGAACTAGGCCATGAATCCCAAGAGCCCCCAAAGTCTTAATGTATTCCAGCATCAGTTCAAAATTATAAGTCCAAAGTCTCATCACCATGAGATATGGTGAACGAGGGCTTCCTGGAGCCTTGAGTACCTAGTGGTTTGCAGACCCTCATCCTTGGGGGCCGAGGGTGGTGGTAGGCAACAAGGACACGAGGCCAGGGTCGTGGGCCCCCACTTACCTCCACACAAAACCAAGCACCTTTAATTTCATATATTTAGAGGTACTCTAGTGGGTTGAATAATGTCTAAATTCAGGTCTACCCAGAACCTCAGAATGTGATGTTATTTGGAAAACGGGTCTTTACACACACAATTATTTAAGGATCTTGAGATGAGATCATAATGGATTAGGGTGGGCCCTAAATCTAATGAAAGTGTCCCTAGTGACAGAAAGTGACAGAAAACACAGAGGAACAGAGCAGGCAGCCACGTAAAAACAAAGACAAGCTATTGGAATCATGTAGCTATAAACCAAAGACCACCCAGGACTCCCAGGAGCCACCAGAAGCCAAAAAGGGGAAGGGTTCTCTCCTTGAGCTTTTTTTTTTTTTTAAATGTTTATTTATTTTTGAGAAAGAGAGAGACAGAATGTGAGCAGGGGAGGAGCAGAGAGAGAAGGAGACACAGAATCTGAAGCAGGGCCCAGGCTCTGAGCGCTTAGCACGGAGCCCCACACGGGGCTCGAACCCACAAACTGGGAGACCATGACCTGAGCCATAGCTAGACAATCGACTGAGTCACCCAAGTGCCCCTACCTCCTCGAGCTTTCAGAGGCAACATGGTCCTGTCAATACCTTCGTTTTAGACTGTTGGCCTCCAGAACTGTGGGAGAATAAATTTCTGTCACTGTAAGCCAAGTTTCTGGTAAATTTGTTACAGCAGCACTTGGAAACTCATATGAGTACCACAAAAATTTATTTAAAAAACGGAGTTCTGGGGGGCGTGGGTGGCTCAGTTCGTTAACGTCTGACTCTTGATCTCCGCTCAGGTCATGACCTCATTTTCCAGGAGATTGAGCCCTGCGTTGGGCTCTGCGCTGGCAACACGGAGCCTGCTTGGGATTCTTGGTCTCCCTCTCTCTCTCTCTCTCTGCCCCTCTCCAACTCATGCACATGCTCTCTATCTCAAAATAAATACACTTAAAAAAAAAAAAAAGAATAAAAACAGGGCTCTTTGTTCTTAGGAAGGCATTCCACTGTTATTAATTTTTTTAAGTTTACTTTGGAAGAGACAGAGAGGCGTGAGTCGGAGAGGGCAGACGGAACAGAGACAGAATCCCAAGCAGGCTCCACACTGCCAGCACAGAGCCTGATGAGGGGCTTGAACCCACAAAGCCGCAAGATCATGCCCTGAGCTGAAACCAAGAGGTGGACGCTGAACCGACTGAGCCACCCAGGCGCCCCAGGAATTCCACCGTCGTTCAGGTGAACTACTGAGCGAGTCCTCCTCACCTTAGAGAGGTGCCCCGAATCATCCAGCAACTCTGCGACATGGCAGGATTAAAAATGGAGGCATCCTAAACTCCTGGCGAGTGCTGCCTCCTGAAGGCTGGGGAGAGCGGCAGGTCACATGCAGGCCTGGCCACGCAGCTTCTGAGTTCAGGGTCCAGCGAAGGCAGGTGGCTCCCCGCACAGCCCAGTCCGTCCACTGCTCCACCCAGCTGCCACCCGCTAGGGCCAGGCCAGGTCTGATGTGCGTGAGCCCCGCTTCACCCCCTTGGGCACGGCTCTGCTAGGGAGGGCAGGCCCTTTCCATCCCTTGCAGCCTCCCTCCCCCTGCCTGAGGAAAGTCCTCTGGAGTTCTCACCTTGCCAGAGCAGCCACACCTTCTGCTAACCCTCCCCGACAGGGGGGCAGGGAAGGTGCAGGGGGGGTGCGGGGGACAGGTAGCACACCTCGGTCTCAGGGCACCGACCGCACCAAGAAGTCTGACCGACTGGTCTGCTCTGTTGGAGACCCCTGATCTCAGGAATTGTCACATCACACCCTACACCAACCTGGCTCTGAGTTCCTGCCGCATTACTGGTGGTCGGTGGCTCCCAGAGGAGGATGTGTGCTGTCCAGGCAAGTTTAAGGCTAAAAAGCCAGACAGACTCGGGTTCAAACCCCAGCTCCGTGACTTTATGGCATGGCCTTTCTGAAGTCAGGTTCCCCATCAGCAAGAGCGAGAGCCCAGCACCCACCTCACAGGGTTGTGGAGAAGGTCAGAAATGGTGTATTCGTTGAACCTCATGAATACTGATAGCTGACTGCTTGTCACGTACAAAAACAGCAATTTCACGCAATTAGGGTCAACCTAATAAGTGTCTAGCAGAGGGGAAAAGGGAAAAAATTGAGGCACCAGATGGTTAATAAAGGGCCACAGGGATGCACAATGAAGTTTGGCATTTTAAAACATTTTGGACACACTTGGCTGCCTTCATCTGACTCGAAGCAAAAGATGATCGGTGCTGAGGCGGGAACTGTCACTTTTCATTACAGTCATTTGAAACAAAGGATTTTAAATCTAAGAGGATTCCTCCCACAGATGGGGACTGAGATAGGACATGTTGTCGTCTGTTGGCATCTTGGGCCAGAGTCCGTCACCAACTCTCTACTTGGGCTTCCAAGTCTAGTGCATTAATAAAGGACAGAGGGGGCACTATTTCCACCCAGGATCCATGCTCCTTTCCTCTTCCTACTAAAACCCCAGGTTTGTTCAGAAAGCCACCCCTCCCCCTGATACCCAGGAGGTGCAGAGGAAGCCAAGACCTACCTCCCACCTCCAGAGGGCTGATCAGCAGAGAACAAGCCTCTGGGGCCAGTTACTGGCCCAGCATAGCATGCTACCTGAGTAGAACCAAGTAGAACGGAGGGAAGGAGTCACATCCCATGTTCCCACCCACTGGACACAAAAGAAGGTGCTGTCCCATGGCCGCTGCCTGCCATCTGCTGACCGGCCTGAGAACAAGGATGGCATGATGGAGGAGAGACAGGAAGGACCCTAGAGACATCTCAGAGCCCTATAACTTGGACTTCCTGCTGTGAACTTTCCTTATTATGGAAGCTGGCTTGGGTTGGGGTTTTGGTTCCTCTAAACTGAGAATAATTCAACTTTGTTGTTGTGCATGTTGTGTGGAGCAAACACATGGGGGTCTGACCTGTGCCTTCTGTTTCTGAGCTGTGCTCTAACCTAGTGGGGCTATTTGGTATCAGTTTCCCCATGACCCTTCTAACTTGGGTAAACAAAGCCCTCCAAGAAACTCTTGTATTAGAAATTAGAAACTATGGGGCACCTGGGTGGCTCAGTCGGTTAAACATCTGACTTTGGCTCAGGTCATGGTCCTGCAGTTTGTGAGTCTGAGCCCCACGTTAGTCTCTGTGCTGCCAGCTCAGAGCCTGGAACGTGCCTTGGATTCTGTGTCTCCCTCTCTCTCAAAAATGAGTAAACATTAAAAACTTTTTTCTAAAAAAGAAAAATCAGCAAAGGCCAGAATGTCAATGGCCTTGGTGCTAGGTCAAGAAATCTGAACTCTATCCTATAGGCAATGGGGAGCTACTGTAAGTCTTTGAGCAGAGTAGCCCAGAGATGGGGGAGAACAGAGGTAGAAAACCCAATGACAAGTTCCCAGCCTCGGTGTCCCTCCACTCAGTGTGGGAGAGGCAAGCCTAGGAGTTAGAATGGGGTGCCTGGAGGGGGAGCTTGGCATGAACGGAGTACAAAGAGCGTGTTCCTTATGGCAGTTCAAGTCCCGAAGTCTGCAGATGACTAACTTTAAGCAAATTCCTGTGGATTTGAACCCTGTGGATTTAAAGCTACTTCCTTAACAAAGCTCCCACTCATTCAATCCCATTGGGCCTTCTTGGTCTGTAAGGAAGAAGGCAAAGTCACAGCTATCCTGAGAGCCCACAAACTTCATGTCCTTCATGCAGGTCTTCAAGGCTTTTGTGGAACAAAGGCAGAGAACTTCTGGTCCAGCCCCAGAGTGACGGAGAGGACACAAGCCGCTGCCTTCTTAGCTGGGTTTTGCCTGTGCTCCGGTCAGCCCTTTTAATCTCCAGGAGAGGATCTCTGCAAGCCCAGAACCCTACGGCCAAGAAATCTGCTTAAACGTCAATGTTTCCCTGTCTTTTCAAACTTAAGTACCCGCCGATAAAGAAGAGAAACTCTTTAATGCTCCATACTCAACTGTAAAGTCCAGTATCCCCTTCTTCCAAGAATCCCCTATTCGTAATGATTCTCTTTACAATGTCTACCCCCAAGATTGAAGGATTTCATCAACGTTTACCTCCTGAAGTTGGTATTTTATATCTGCATCTGCATATGTAGAATCATACTGCTGCATATACTTTTTCAAAAACATGTGCCCCCTCCTGGAAATTCCCTACCCAGCCCTACCAGCTAGGAACTACTTTGCTATTAGGCTGAATCACATTAAGTTGCTGGTACTTGACCAATTCTGACCAGCGTCCCTGGTTCTTCTGTGGGAACCAACTATCCTAACCACATGGACAGTGTCCATACCACTGGACGGACAGTTCCGAGGCTGCTCAGAAGAGAAAACCTGTGTCCTCACATGCCCATAGCAGGAGTTCTGACATCTCTCTAGGGGGTAAGAAGAGAAAAAAAGGACACAGAAAGAGCCAGGGGGAGGGAGAGTTAATTCATCCATCATGTCAGGAGAGGGAAAGAACTGAGAAGGAAGGGACAAAAAAGGGCTTAAGAAGGCAATGCAGAGGCCGATGAGCAGGGTGTCTCACTGGGGAGCTGGAGAGGTGGCCCTGAGGGCCTCAGCTCAGATCTGGGTGAGGGAACTGAAGAGGGACTCAGGCTGGCACAACAGGAGGGATGTGAGCAGAACAGCTGGGGGTGCGGGTGGGGTGGCAGGAGTGCACTCACACGCAGGCAGCTCCTAGTTCTGACCAGCGAGAGAGCCTGGGAGCAGTGACGGCACAGCTGGCACTCAGGTGGCACTCAGGTATTGATTCCTAGTATCATCCTCTACTAAGGAACCAGGGCTCTGTGAAAAATAACTGCGTCCAGGGCTGGGGCAGGGAAAGTACAAGATGAGCTTGGAATATCTCGTAGTGCCAGAATGTAAGGAAGTTCTCAAAAAATGATGAGGACATATCAAAAAGGCACAAGGAGGCCCCAGCAGCTAGATCTGGGACAATGTAACAAAAAGCAATAGGTATTGGGGCGCCTGGGTGGCTCAGTCGGTTAAGCGTCCAACTACGGCTCAGGTCATGATCTCTCAGTCTGTGAGTCCGAGCCCCGCATCGGGATCTGTGCTGACGGCTCAGAGCCTGGAGCCTGCTTCGGATTCTGTGTCGCCCTCTCTCTCTGCCCCTCCCCCACTCATGCTCTGTCTCTCTCTCTCTACATATATCAAAAATAAACATTTAAAAAAAATTTTTTTGAAGCAATAGGAATGGATTAGAGCCCATAGAACACAATAAGTATGCAAGAGTCAATACTGATACGAATACACAATTGAGTAAATAAATAAGGACAAAGGAACAGATCTTTCTTACAGTAGAATTCCAATTAGTCAATGCAGAAGCAGTGACGGAAACAGAAAATCACCATTTGGCCAACATCACAATAATAATGGTTCCAGGCAAGATCCACTGCCGGACTGCTAAAATTAGTTCATGGAAATATGACGAGAACTAGGATATTTGCATAGTCTCAAACTGTCTCCCTGTGAGATACATATCTATTACGAAGGCAAAAATAGAACTTTTACGGCACAGGAGCCTGGCAGACAGCCCCTGAAACAAGTAATCGACGTTACCATCACCAGTAATAACTTACTGACCTCATGTACCCCTTGACAATGATGCACTGAGGAGGGCACCTCACTTCTGTCATCTTCTTACCCAAACACACGACCTCGATCTATAGTTCTAAATAGGGAAATTTGGTCTAGCTCCACTGTTAGCTCTGAATATAGTATAGAGAAGTTAATAGAGAAAACATTAAACCCAAATTGAAGGACATTCTACAAAATACCTGACCAGGATTCGTCAAGAGGGAAGGTCACAAAAGACCAGGAATGACTGAGAAGCTGTCCCAGATTGAAGGAGACTAAGGAGACACGCCAATTTTTTAAATTGTTTTAAAATTATTATTTTTAAATTTAAATCCAAGTTAACATATCGTATAATGATGATTTCAGGAATAGAATTTAGTGACTCATCACTTACATATAACACCCAGTGCTCATCGACAGGACAATTAAACACAAGGTAGGATCTTGCACCAGAAAAAGGACATTAGTGGGAAAACTGGCAGAATTTGAATAAGGTCTGTAGTTTAGGTAATGGTGCTATGTTAATTTCCTGGTTTTGATCATTGCACTGTGGTTATGTAAGATTTAACATCAGAGGAAGCTGAGTGAAGCATTTTCTGTAACTTTTCTGTAAGTCTAAAATTACTTAAAAAGTCATAAAAAGTTAGAAAACTTAAGAAACAAGAGAACATTAGTGTTTATAGGTAAAATGACATGTATGTGGTTTGTTCTGAAATACTCCAGCAAAAAAAGCACGGAGGCAGATGGACCAAGACGGTAGCAAATTGATAATTGTGAAAGATGGTGATGACGGCCTTTCTGTGGTCCTCTTTTGTGTCTGACGTTTTCCGTAATAAAAAGTCAAAAAGTTAACAATAAAGAATCAAATAAATCCCTGCTGCAAATGACAGAATTCTAAGGAGTGGATAAGTAATAAGCGAATATTTAGAAAATGTAAGATAAACAGAGCCCTCCCTGGAGAGATGGGAGGCAGATGCACGGGGCAGGTGCTGATGCGGGTTTTGTTCTGATCACAGACGGGAACTTGTCCAACAGCAGCTAAGGCTGCAGTGGACACACCCCGGGAACGTCAGGGAGCAAGAGCTGCAGGGACACGAGGAAAGACCAACCTCTAACCTGCACGGGCACCTCTCTAGGTGGGTGTGTGCCACCTGCCCCTCTGCTAGGCCTCCCTGTGGCGAAACGCGAGCTTGGTAGCAGGCAGGTGGGGAGTGAGGTGGGGCCACAAGAGGAAGGAGGCCGGGGCTCTCCTCTGGACCAGTGTGAGCAGTAGCCAATCCCAAGGAGGCCCTAAGCTCAGAACTGGGATCAAGCTTATGGGAACTGGAAACATGGGGTTCAGGACGTGGTGAGGCAACCAGGCAGAGGCCAGCCTTTGAGCCTGGGGAGGAGAGAGGACTATGTCTAGGTAGATGTTAAGTGACCACCCCCTTCCCTGCCAGGCCAGAAGGATGCTGACAGAAGACAAGACAAATACAGACTGGACCACGGGGACCTTCAGGCTCGCAAGTT